TGCAGGCTGCCTGTTGCAGTGTTCACAAGGTGAACACAAGGCTGAAAATGTTGCAATAAAAATAATGCATGAGATTAGGGCAAACTGACAACTTTGAAGCTAATTTTATTGTAATAAACTTGACTGAGTAGACTTTATATGAACAGGCAGGATGGGTTATGTTTTGCACTGGGATCTCTGGAAGAGTTAGCTGAAAAAGTTTGATCAGACCTGTTGCAGTGTTCACAAGGTGAACACAAGGCTGAAAATGTTGCAATAAAAATAATGCATGAGATTAGGGCAAACTGACAACTTTGAAGCTAATTTTATTGTAATAAACTTGACTGAGTAGACTTTATATGAACAGGCAGGATGGGTTATGTTTTGCACTGGGATCTCTGGAAGAGTTAGCTGAAAAAGTTTGATCAGAAAAGCTGAAAAGGGAACTGTAGTTTATGAACTTCTTTAGATATTCTTGGATGCACTGCAGGGTGGAACATATTGCTGTAATGTTTATGTAGACAGACAGATAGGCAGAGTGTTTTGTGTTATAACAACAAAGAAGCTCATGCATGCATATCCCAACTCCACAGAGTTCAGCAAAGCCTTTCACAGACATTTTCAATGATTATATTAAATCACTGTGTTCATATATAAGATTTTTCTTCTGAGAGGCAAGAAGTGAAATAGGCAAACATCTTATCTTCCCTGTGTAATAATTAACAGATGAGTCTAGCTGTGGTTTTGTCTGTTATAGAACATAGTTTTCCTGGTCTTTCTTATGGCAAAATCTTGCAAGTTCCTAGTCCACCCCGAATGAAATGCATCTCCCTTTCTAAGTAGAATTCTTTCCAAAGAAGTCAGTGAGGAAGACACACTTCTGTCTATCAGCATCTCTGCCTAGAACAGTATTTCATTGCATTCATGGTAAAGAAACATCATGAAGTTTCCCATCAAGTGTGGCTCATCCAGAATAGGAAAGACTTATTACATACCAAGTGACTACATTGAACTTTATTTATATGTCACAAATTTTCCTGTCTGACCATGGTAATAATAGACTTTGTTGACTAGGTTGAAATATGGGAATCTGGGGAGAAGGGAAGGCTTGTGCTTTTTCCTGATTTAGACAGCCGCTAAGAGTGATTACACAAACTGTTTTTCATCTTCTCAGCTTTCCTCAATATGTGGCTTGAGTATCTTGCAGGGTAATAACTTCAGCCTCAGCCAGTGACCAGTACTATCAAAAGAGAGCTGTATTATTTTGAATTGGACTGGGTAAAAGACAAAACTAGGGCAAACAGTACAACAAGGGTTACACATCTTGTTGGACAAAGTCCTGAATGACTTGCAGCAAAGTGCATTATAGAATGCACTTCAGAAGTGGTTTAAGGTGAGATGGCTGGTTTGGCACTGTGGTAGCATAAAACACGCAAGAAACACGTTGCATTGACAGAATTCACATTGCAGAAGTAGGTCCATGTTGGTAGGATGCTCTAGGTGTTGGTGGTGCTTTTGTGCATCAATAATTTTTTCATCAGCATAGGAAAACTGAGTGTCATCATTAGCAGAAGTGGGAATTTCATAAAATCATAGAATCTTTCAGTTGGAAAAGAACTCTAAGTTTATTAAGTCCAAACATTAACCTAACACTGCCAGTGCACCACTAAACCACATCCCTAAGTGCCACATCAACGTGTGTCTTAAATACCTCCAGAAATGGTGACTCAACCACTCCCTGGGCAACCTCTTCTAATGCTTGAGTAGCCTTTTTGATAAAGAAATTTTTCCTTTCCTGGTGCAACTTGAGGCCATTTCCTCTTGCCCTAATTTCAGCAGCTAGCCTGGGCATTTAGTAGGCTGCTCATATCCTACCCCTTAGGTACTTTACACTGTTTCTCTCTTTTTCTATAAGTACAGTATTTCTAGTGGGCAGAGAGCCACTGCTGTACACGTTCTTGTCTGAATATAGATGGGAAGTGATGCTGTGCAGCAAATGCTGTTGCATGTGCATCTCCTCGTGTCCCATGCAGCATCTCAGCCAAAAGGTTCCTCCCAGATGCCCCTGGCTGGAGAGGGACAAGTTTGACCTAATTCAGGCATGCGGATGATGAGGAGAATAAACAGTAGTTTAGCAGTTCTGGCAGCAGGATAACTTGCACAGCAGACAGACATGTCATTGTCAATGACTAGTGTTGATTTGATTTATCTCTGAGGTTACTCTCTTCCAAGCTGCTCATCACAAGGTACTCATCAAGTCTCTTGCCAGGTGATGTTCCTGCTCCTTCAGGTCTGCTGACGCAGCTCACCACTCTCTCCATAGAGTTTTGCCAAAATTATCCAGATAATGAGTCCTTTAAAACTTAGTTGTCTCCAAAACACAATCTTTCTCATTAGCAGTATTTTTGTCTGTCTCTTTTATGAATCTATGTCATCAAGATCAGGTGTACCTTCCTCCTCAGAGACTAGAAGTCAAGTGCTTATATTTCACAAGACACTATATTTTAATGTAGCTTAAATTTTGGCCTCTTCTAGCATTAATCACACATAGTGGATGTACTGAAATAGGCTTTATTAAGGTCACTAAGCCCATACTATTAGCTCTTGCCTTGTGTACAGCCCCAGCTCATGGTAGGATGTTTCATGACCACTTTACTAGGGACAAAAAAAATGCACAATTTAGGCTGGACACATTGGGAAGTGTATTTTTGAAAACTAGTTTCTTGAGAGGGATTGCTTTTCAACATGCAAAGTTTAGGTTGTATTGGTAGCCCATTTTGTAAGGCAGTAACAACAGGAGAGGAGAGCTCTCAGACCAGACACGCCTGTGTTTTTTCTTGTCAAGGTAGATTATATCTGAACTTTGTGAATGTGTTGATTGTGTCATGTGGCAATGAATAAGTTGTTAAGTGTGTATTTAGTTACATCAATTAGGACTAAATGGGCTCTATAGCTTTCTTAGGTAGTACCTCCTTACGAAACCCAGCATTATAGAGGTACACAGGGCAAAAAAAACCAAACCACATTTGATCATGAATCTTGATTCCCAATAAATTACATAGGCATAAATGCATTTTAGGTCTACAAGGAGTTTTTAATTATTCACTCTCACAAATGGTGTATGGTAGTGTCTCCAGCAAAGATGGCCATCAGCACATAGGAGCACCTTCAGCTACAATTTCCTATACTAGAAATCATCCTGCTGGTGCAATGCAGAGTTCTGGAGAACATGCCAGTTCCTGCATGGCCACTGAATTACCAGCTGGTTTCTGGTGGTCAGGGCAGGCTTTGCTCCATCCCTCCACACTGCATAATTCTGATGCTGTCTGTAGCTTTCCTAGACTATAGTCCCATCAACAAAGTCCTGCAGATAACAGAATATAAATACTTTTATTTTGACCTAAAAATGATGGTAATGACTCATTTATAAACTTAGCCAAACTTGGGGTGATAAGTACTTCAGTTGCCAACAGGTGGCCCATGTAAAGGTAGTGATTATTTCCCAGTAAAGTGTTTGTTTAACAAGCTTTGCTTTCATTCTGGGAAAGGTGAAGTTACATTTTTAGGAACAAATTGTCAAGTGAAAAATGAAACTGTTTTACTCCTCCTTAATATTCTTTATTATGTCAAATAATTCCCAGAATTAAAATGTGTGACTGTTACAGGGTAACATTTGAATCTGAAACAAACATGTTTATCAACAGTATTTTAAAGCAAGAAGCTATAAGAACTGATGCAGTTCCATGAAAGGCCTGGCTTCAAAGCAATTATGCTTTCTAAAGTATTGCCTGAGTAACAGCATCACTATTACAGCCCTCCAACTTCTTTATCTTCCCCTCTGCTTTCCATATTTTTAAATTAAAATGGCTTGGAAGCATCGCTGTGTAACACTCATGGCCCAAAACCACATGCAGTTCTGCTGCAGACCAAGGCTAGAGGTCTGGTTTCCCAATCCCAAACACATTTAGGAGCTGAACCAGGCACAATGCCTCACAATAAGTCAAAAGCAGAGGTCTTGAAAGACACTTTAGACTATCAGAGAAAGGTTTAAGAAGCAATCCTATCTGGAATCAAAAGCCAGCAAATTCTCTTGAGAAATACAGCACACTTGCTTGTCTGATGGTGTGATTAGCAAACAAGTCATACAGAGCAGTGGTGGGTACAGCTCTATGATTCCTTAAAGCCAAGGTCCTTTTGGAAGATACAGTTAACTCAGATAAGTGTTATAGGATTCAATGTGCAAATAACAATAAAATGTAATGGTCCATGTCATATACAATCACTCATATTAAATGGGCTGATGTACTTTTCCAGCTTTAAAAGTGAACAAATTAACCACTCTCAGAGTTCCAAAGTGTCTTATTTAATTGTGCTCAGAGAGGAAGCCCAGTGCCCACTGTGGTCATTAGCATGGTCACCACCTCATGTTTGTCAGTATTTCCTGCTCTTTGCCTGTGTTCAAATGCAGAATGAGGTTTCTGAGATTTGCCTTCCTCTTGCTGGCTTGTTCAGGAGTAGATGAATTAGTTGAGGAATGGCTGAGAGGGAGGAGAGGGCTCTGGAGGTGGGAACCACTGACCTCCTTTCAGTATCTTCCCTTTTCCAATCCTGTGTCACCTATTTCCTTCCTTTTCAAAGATGAGAAAAGGCTTCCTAAGGTCTTGAGGTTTTGAGGTGCTTGGTGGCATCTGTTCATGTGACTTCAGTGTCCTGTGGCAGCAGCTCTTGATGCCAGGGAGGTACATGCAGGTGATCCTCAACCACCTCCCTCAAAGAAGGGCTGTGCTTATGTCCAGGATGAGCTCCCTCTGCAGTATCAATCTTCTGGCTTGTGTGGCTCGTTCCTCTAATTTTCTGCAACCTTAGTCCCAGTTTGAAAAAAACAAACTTCCAGAACAACTACAGGAAAACAAAAGAGAGAGGTGGAATTCTGACCATAGCTAACAGCTTTTAACAAGTGTCCTCCTTCTTTCTTTGCCCAGGTTTTATCAGGCTGTGAATGAGTTTGACACCATGACTGCTGAGGACTCCACTGCAAGGATGAGCAATGATTCCACCAATGTGGCTACTACAAAAGTCCCAGAAGGTGTTGCCGGTGCACCCAACGAGGCAGCTCTGCTGGCCCTCATGGCCCGCACCGGATATAGCATGATCCAGGAGAATGGGCAACGCAAGTACGGTGGTCCTCCTCCTGGCTGGGAGGGGCTGCACCCTCCTCGTGGCTGCGAAGTCTTTGTGGGCAAAATCCCCCGTGATGTCTACGAAGACGAGCTCGTCCCCGTGTTCGAGTCTGTCGGCCGCATCTACGAAATGCGCTTGATGATGGACTTTGACGGAAAGAATCGTGGCTACGCCTTCGTGATGTACACACAGAAGCACGAGGCAAAACGCGCCGTCAGGGAGCTGAACAACTACGAAATCCGCCCCGGCAGGCTGCTGGGGGTGTGCTGCAGTGTGGACAACTGCCGGCTCTTCATCGGAGGCATTCCCAAGATGAAGAAGAGAGAGGAGATCCTGGAAGAGATCGCCAAGGTGACGGAAGGTGTGCTGGACGTCATCGTGTACGCCAGCGCCGCGGACAAGATGAAGAACAGAGGCTTCGCCTTCGTGGAGTACGAGAGCCATCGAGCAGCAGCAATGGCCAGGAGGAAGCTCATGCCAGGAAGGATCCAGCTGTGGGGACATCAAATTGCTGTTGACTGGGCAGAACCAGAGATAGATGTGGATGAAGATGTCATGGAGACTGTTAAAATCCTCTATGTGAGGAATTTAATGATTGAGACCACAGAGGACACCATTAAAAAGGTCTTTGGTCAGTTTAACCCTGGCTGTGTAGAGAGAGTGAAAAAAATACGTGATTACGCCTTCGTGCACTTTACAACCAGGGAAGATGCCATTCATGCCATGAACAACCTGAATGGTGTTGAACTGGAAGGCTCATGCCTGGAGGTTACCTTGGCCAAGCCAGTAGACAAGGAGCAATACACTCGCTACCAGAAAGCAGCAAAAGGAGGAGCTGTAGCAACGTCTGAAGTAACTCAGCAACCTAATTATGTTTACTCTTGCGATCCATACACACTAGCATATTATGGATATCCATACAATGCCTTGATTGGGCCCAACAGAGATTACTTTGTGAAAGGTTAGTAAGCACAATAAGGGGATGTGGTGGGCAGGTTTGATCTCAGGCTGATGTGACCCAAGATCTGCCTGAGCCGAAGGACAGCTGGTGCTACGCAATTTTTTCTTAAATAGTCTTTTATAGGTCTTTTTGCCTAATTACTGTTTGGTCTCACTTTATGACTATACAGAGTGTATTTATCTATAAATACTTGCTAATGTATGGGCTAGTAAGAGGGAGACATCAAATATATGGCTAAGAATGAGCTAATGGATGAAGCATGGGATGGGGAAGACAGGGATCTGGGTTTTACGAGTGCTGTACTGAGTCTGAGCATGTCTAAGGACTGCAGCTTCTGATGTCTCCTTCCAAAGAGCTAGATCCTAAGTATTAGAGATCATGACAGAGTGCTCTGGAGGTGTGGGTATGGTCACTTGGTCATCCAAAGGAAGGGATGTCAGAGAAAGCCTTAGCTAGGAGCTTTCTAGTATCATTCACCCTCTGCATTAAAATGACAGTAGTGCTGTGTCCCTTATAAAGTCATTTGAGAACTACGAGCAGAAGGAGTCACACGAGTGCAAAATAATTCTTTTATTGTATACACTTTAATTAGTTATCAGTTGCAGTCATTAAAAATTAACCAAAAATCGGTTACTTTATATTCATAAAAACCCTCGCAGCTGTAAGTGGTGTTATAATTGCAATTATCCCATACTTACAGGAGTTACAATTTCCTGAAATTTAATGTGTATTTCCATATCACAGGCAGTTTAGCATGAATATATCCTTAAAGCATCCACATAAACCAGGAAGTATTTTTAACCCTAGCTGATCAAGGATTTCAGCTTCTTCTCAATTTCCAGATTTGTACTTGCAATGAGCTATGAAGGAGTTGACTGACAGTCTAAATACTCAATTAGGCCATTGCAGAGTGCATTAATACTGCATTGTTCAAAGTACTGTCATAATACATGTGGAGTACTAAGACAAATAAAGGCAATATTTTTGGAGATGGGGTTTATTCACATTACTAATAAAACAGCAGGGAAAACAAACAACACTAGTTAAAATATATGCAGTGGTGGGGCAAAGTTGGTTAAAGGCCAGGTACAATGTTGTGCCATCTTCACAGGGTCCCATCACAGACAGCTGACAGGTTGGGTCCCCTGTGGAGGCCAGCTGACAGCAGAAGCTGCTCCTAACACACAGAAATCACCCTGAGGATTCTCTCTCTCTCTGCTGAGTGCACTGAACTTGTAACACTGGCCACAAGAGTTGCATCAGTATAAATGAGCAGCTGATATGTGCTTACAAACATCAAAAGCAAAGCAAGCATAGGCTTACTGGGTGCTTCTAAAGGCACTTCTGTTTTCCTAAGTGGGATCATTAAGACTCAGGCCATGCTAACTTCAACAGCCACATGCCTCTAGATCTGAGCCTGGGGTCATTCATGCTCTCCATTGGTCTGTCACTCTCCATTATTCACCATGGTCTTCTATGTTGTTATCATAAGCAGGCAGCATACGAGGCAGAGGGAGAGGTGCAGCTGGGAACAGAGCCCCAGGCCCCAGGGGCTCCTACCTGGGGGGATACTCCGCTGGCCGTGGCATCTACAGCAGGTACCATGAAGGCAAAGGAAAACAGCAAGAGAAAGGATACGAGCTGGTTCCCAACTTGGAGTTACCTGCAGTCAATCCTGTGGCCATTAAGCCCAGTGCAGGTTAGTATGTGTAAGGAGGGGAGGAAAGCAGGGGTGGCAAGCAAATCCCACTCAAAGCCCTGTGTCAAGCAGGCAGGGATCCCTCCAGGGCCAGCCCATGACTGTGGCAGTGGGGACAGCCCCAGTGCTGGATGCCTCCTGGTCCTAGCCAAGCTTTCTTCAAACAAGAGGCACACAGTGGGACAAGAGACACAAACATCTGGAAACTCTTCAGGCCAAAGAAAAAAGGACTGTAGCAGTGCCCATCCCTCCTGTCCCCTTTTGCACCTCCTCAGGAGGAAGCAGAATTTCTTCTCCATCTAGTCATGGACACTAGAGCATGGTGACTAAGAGCAATCTTCCTCTCTTTTAATGTTTTCAGTGCTAATATCATCCTGGGATATTCCTATCCTAGATTTCCAGCCAGACCTGAGCTCTCCCCTGTTTAGTTCATATATATGTCCTATGCTCTGAGGCTGGTGAAAGGACCTGGGGCTTTCTGAGGCTGAGACATTTTTCTCCATCACCATCAGTGGGGAAGGAGCAATGCAAGGAGCCCTCAGGGTTCCGCTTGCAGCGATGCAGTGTTTTTAGAACTCTCATCTCTGTTGGGTTGTGTTGAGCCAACCCAAGCTTGGGGCACGGATTGCCCTCTTCTGCCACTTCTCAGTTGAATATCCAGCCCTTGCCATTCCCAGGTGAACAGGATGAAGGATGAAACTGCAATTTCTCTGATCCAGGAAAGATTCTTATTCGGAGAAGTAGTCTGAAAAAAAACCAGGTCCTTGCAGATGTCCTGATGTCTTCTCCCCATTCCTCTTTCCATGTAAACTGTAACTGCAGTATCTAAGCAGTGCTTAATAATAGAGCTGTGGTGGTTTCCCAAAACATGCTCCATACTGTCAGTGAAAACTCTAGCTTGCATCTAATGAAATTTGTGAAGAGTTCTTCATAACAGCTGGCTGAGACAATGTGAGACGAGGTCTAGAAACAAAGGAAGGCTGCTAAGATTAGAGCCGTTTCCAAAGATCAGACTTCCTAAGAAAACTACCTACTCACCACCAGCAAATATTACTGCTATGTGTGTTTGCAAAGATACTTCAGAATTCCAGGTATTACTAAAGAATGCTTGAAAGGTGAGCTTTGGAACACATGCCTGTTAGTGGTGTGTTTATTTCATTTGACTGACAAACAAAAGTTTGAAGCTCAAGTCTAAATGTTTCTATGCTTGAAGCATGTTGAGATTCAGATTTTTTTATCAGATCTTCCCCTGTTGTATAGTACCAGCACAGCCTTTGAACACACAAGTACCTGGTCTGTTTTCCCCAACCAGATCAGATGATCTAGTAAGAGGTACCACATGCAAGACTTACCTCTGTTATGAAGCAGGTATGACTCTGAAAGCACATTACCAGAACAGAGGAATAGAGATGCATTGACTCTGCAAAGTTTCTTACCTACTGTTTAGAACAACCTTAAAGCTCATTGCTTTGCAAATGGTTAGAAAATTCCTGAACAGGTCACCCCAATATGCCACCTGCCTGTTACTGCTTTTCTGCCAGAAGTTACTGCAGAATGGAGCATGTGAGGTCTTTGCCTTTGCTTTGGTGAAAAATTATCCAAGATGTTTAAACCAGTGATAAAACTGGTTTGAGCTGACCAGGTGAACTTGGTGTAGAAGGAGAACTGGAAAAGCTCATGAGTGGTGGTCTGTGCTTGAGGAAACAGTGCTAGTCCACTGGTGATGGGAACATCTCTGCCTGAAAGATACCTGATCATATCCCTTGTCACAGTCTCCAGGATCAAAGCAAGAGTACCACTCTGGACTCTCACCAGGGTAGAGCAGAGGGGCAGATTCACCTCCCTTGACCTGCTGCCACACTTCTTTCGATGCAGTCCAGGATACAGCTGGCTTTCTGTGCTATAAGCACACATTGCTGGGTCATGTGCAATGATTGTGATTATTGGGAATGCTCAGCAAAGCACATTTCTTCCCTAAGCAATGCCACAAAGCTCCCTTTTGGACCACATACAAACTCACCATCTTTGGACACTATCATTCTGACCAGTGTTTTCCCTTTGTGTAAAAGACCATGGCTCTAATGATTTCACGTTGTCCAGTTTTGGCACGATGGAGAATTCTCTAAAGAGCAATTTCTTCTTTTTTTGGTGTCATTAAGTAGAATCATTTTGTAGCTGACAGATGGGACAAAACATATTTAGCCAAGCTAGTCCTGGGAAATGTATAATAGTAAATGAGTTGATATTTCACAGGGTTGACCAAAGGAAGTCATGTAAAGCAGACCAGTTGCTGCCTGTAACTTCTGCAGTACAAACCACATTTTTCTGTCCCAGAGCAGCTCTTCCTATAGCAGCTACATATCCCTTGAACTGAACAGTTGGAGCAGGGACCTCACTGGGACATTATATGGTCCTCCCTCATCCTTGCCAAGCAGGCAGCACCAAGCCTGTCACTGTGCATAAGCCAAGGTACTCCCACCCATGGGAGGGCAGAGCTGCCCCAGCACCCCTGCTTGCACACTGGGCTGCCTGCCCTGGTAAGAGGAGCACACTGGAGGGTTGGCACAGCTGGGAGGGAGATCTCTTTGAGATGAGGTCCTGGAAATTCTCCCAATGCATCTGATATGTCTGGTCTCTCCTAGTGGCCATCCCTGCCATCAGTGCCCAGTACTCCATGTTTCAGGCTGCACCACCAGCCAAGATGATGGAAGATGGCAAAATTCACACTGTTGAGCACATCATCAACCCAATAGCTGTCCAGCAGGACCCAGCGAGTGCGGCGGCTGCTGCAGCAGCTGCGGCCGCGGCTGTAATACCAGCTGTCTCAACACCTCCTCCCTTCCAGGTGAGTTCAGCACAGAAGTCCTGCTCCCCATATGTCCTGCTGCCTATACATCCTGCTACCCATACACGGTGTGGGGAGGAAGCCTAGTCTCTTGCCCTGTTTCCATTCGGGAGATGTTGTTGAGGGTACTACAGTGCCCCAAAGCCCTGCAGTTCACCTGACCTGTCTTAGACATCTGTACACTGAGTGGCTGCTTTTCCCACTATGGGAGGCCAAACCTGGGAGGGAGTTATGCCTTCCATGATGACATAACTCTCAATCAGCAGGACATGCACTGTCTACCCTCTCATCTCCTCCCCTCCTAGGGGGTTTGCAATTCAGGGGGTGGAAATGGGGCGTTGCAACAAACGAAGCATTTTTTGGGGGTCTGAACACAACGCTTTCCTGCAGGGCCGTCCCATCACACCGGTGTACACCATGGCTCCCAACGTGCAGAGGATTCCTGCCGCCGGGATTTACGGGACAAGTTATGTGCCATTTGCAGCTCCTGCTGCGGCCACAGCGACAATAGCCACGCTACAGAAGAACGCCGCCGCCG